TGTAGTGAAAAATCTAATTTGAACCCAGTACGCCCCTCTGTCTCTTCTGAGGGTGTGTGCCAGATTGCTCTGTAGTGTCAAAACACTATTTTAAAACACAAAATATCAAAAATTGAACTGAATGTTGACCTTAGTATTGAAAAATGCTTGGAACCTGAAAATACATGCATCTTTACTCCTCTTGTGTACACGTATGTAAACTGCACACATGGTGCAAACAGTGCAAACATTAACATATTGGGATACCACTGTATCAAACCAACTCTGTTTTTTGTGTAATATCGCACCCCTAGTATTTACAGTAATAGTTCAGGTGGGATAAAACTGTACAGGTGCAGTTGTGCACAATGGGATGTGACAGATGTGCTCTGCAAGATGTGCAAAATGTACAGTCCTAAAACCGAATCTTGTGGGTTGGTCATTTTTCACAGATGCTGTAAGAGGGCACTGGGCATTTCTCATCTAAACTCATGAGTCATTCCATGCTATTTATATTGGATGTGGGTGGGATTATAAAATGCTGTGAAAAGGGCAAAATAGTAAATGATGGAGGTGGGGAGCATGCAGAGATGTTTTGGCTGCTGTGGTCCGGTGTGGTTCAGAGATTTGAGTAAATGTGTAAATGTATGTGTTGGTGTGTTTGACAGGAGGAGGGAGGCGGCCTCTTCAGACTGTCCCGGGCATACCAGGAGGAACGCGAGCCGGAGCAGGGAAGATCGGCCGGATGATCGCTGAGGAGATGATGGAGAGGTGAGCTCCGTCCTCACTGACTGCACCAAATTTCATTTAACAGCTCTAAAAAGCTTGAAAAGTTATGAAATTTAAAAATGAGATTTTCTGGCCTCGAGAGGTTTTGGAAAATAAAATCACTCCATGGACTTTTTTGTTTACTTATCTAAACACATCAGAATCACTGAACTAATCTAGATCACAACTACAAGTAACCAGTAAGTATTTCTTATTGAGAAATGTGAACCTTTATTAAAGAGCTTTTGTGATTTCAACCTGAAAAAAAGAAGTAAAAAAAACCCAAACCACACACGAACCACAAACCACACACATGACTACTGGAACATCTTAAATTGGCCCTTGCTGAAATGAAAAATGCAACCATTGCTACCATCTTTGGTAAACATACCTACTGGCCTCCTACAGTGGTGCCACGATAGTCCCTAGAACTAAAACTAGCACTTCATATGTTATTTGTCATGTTATGTAATATTCCATAGTGTAAAATTATATCCCTCAACCAATGAAGCTGAGGGATATAATTTTACACTATGGAATATTACACAACATGACAAATAACATATGAAGTGCTAGTTTTAGGCCAGACTGTCCCTTTTAAGTAACAAGATCAGCTAAAAAAGCTGAGTAAATGTGCCTTAAAAAATAGCTGCCTATTAGATAAAATGTATCTCTTTTGTATCTCAAAGTTTGTGGAAAAATTCAAATCTATTTTAATTCAAATCTCTCTCGTCTACAGGATTCGAGGCTCCTCCCCCTCCAGCTGTGGTTCCAGCCCCCTCAACATCACCAGCACTCCCCCTCCTGACACCTGCTCTCCAGGGGGCAAGAAAGTGAGAAGAATACAAATTCTCTCTCGCCTGTTCTGAGCTTGTTATGTAATCTATTCGAACTGTTTTCTGAGCAGTGTTAAGCAGTAAACTTGGTAAAGTCTTTTAGCAGCTCTTCTTTTTTAATTTGTCTCATCAAGTAAACCACGGGTGCGCAATCCTGGTCCTGGAGATCTACCACCCTGCACAGCGTAGTTCCACCTTTGATCAAACACACCTGATCCAATTAACGAAGGCCTTCAGGAGCATCTGGATATGAGAGCCAGGTGTGTTGGATCTGAAACTCTCCAGGGTGGTAGATCTCCAGGACCAGGATTGAGCACCCATAAAGTAAACTAAGGAACGATCAGACAAAACACACGTCTGCTGATTGAGGCAGTGAGGAGATCCTGACACACTTTTGCTTTGTAGATTCAAAATGGAGGCACCCCAGACCTGCCCTCCACTGGAATCGTGCCTGGTCCGGACTCGATAGGATACCCGTACTCCAACAACTCCATAATGAGTGAGTGTCATTTTTACTGTAAGCTTTAAACTTGGCCTTTGCATCGGAAATATGAGTTAAGGAATCGATACTGGAGTGTTCTGTTTCCTCAGTGCCAATGTTCTAGTTCACAAATAGCTGAAAAAAAAATTATTACATTGTTTTTGTTAGGAAACAAAGCATATTCAGGAAAAAATGTGGAATAATTTTTGTGCATGCATAAACACTAAACCCCACCTCTGATAGTGCGTTGTCACGCTCATATCTAAATCTCAGAAATAGCATTGAAACCATTGAAAATCTTTTGCACCAAAATTAAAAATGCGTACCATTCACCACCTTGATGCAGGCACCAATAGAAATGGTCCAGAATTATTGATAATGAGATTTTGTTACATTAACTAAAGGTTAAGAATATTTGTGTCCTTCTATAAAGTTACCATTTCAGAGAAGGTTTTGTTACGACTGCAGCATTACAACACTTTGTAATTACAAATTAAATACAGGAGCATTTTTTTTAATCAATAACAATCTTCTGTAGGCGATAACTCCCATCTGAGCATCGACATCATGGACGAGCCTGGCTCCAGCAGTCCCAGCAACGACGAGGCGGCCATGGCCGTCATTATGAGCCTCCTGGAGGCCGACGCTGGCCTGGGGGGACCTGTGGACTTCAGTGACCTGCCTTGGCCCTTGTGAGAATGGCACAGCAGTGGACTGACCCTGATCCAGCTATACCTGGATCTAAACTCTGGCCCAAACTCGAACCCCTACAGCCTCTCTGCGTGTGGCCATTTGAACAGGAATTATGCTTCAGCTCCTGTGCAGTGGAGTGCAGAGAAACAGCACCACTGCTGTCTAAATATAGGACCTCCCACTCGAAACACAGACACCAAGCTATCCTCTTCTTATGGAGTTTTATCCATCACCCACATCTCTCTGTATATACTGTACTGTATCATCACTATGATACCCATCCTCATACAAAAAGATTATATATATAACACCTTTTTGTGGTTTTATGTTTTTACACTACAAACGGTATAAATGTTAAATATTCTATATGCAGATTGTAACAGATGCTGTAATTCTATCATGTAAGAATACTTTATGCAAAAATATATAAGGTAAAAGTGTATTGTAACAGCAGTGGATATTTTTAAAATAAAAAAAAGTTTCTCCTGTCTTCGTGTTATATAACCATACACTGAATCTGTTATGCAGTGCAGTAGTCTGCTTTTTGTTGCATGAAACCATTTTGGATATTGACTTTTATGAGATTATTATCAGGGCTACTCACTGTTGCTCTGCAGTGAGTCACTGTGTGACGCAAGTGGCGTGTTCATGCCATTTCTTCTGCTTCTGCTGTACTGCTTTCCTCAGCTCTCCATTGGTCCAAATGCTGTGATATTTTTGTTCGATGTTGCCATCCAGTGGCAGAATCTTGAAAGAAATAATTAATTCACTGCAGCAGGAGACAGAAGTATTGCTTTGGAAAATGAGAGGCAGAGACGGTGACCTACAATGGCTTCCTATGAACTAGAAAGCTTTATCAGCCATGTTCATTTTATATATATATATATAGCTGCTGTCAGAATAAAACCTTATATCTCCATTACATCTCCATAATTTGAGAATGCCTGTTACCCTTTATACTGTGCAAATTCATGAAGAATGGATCAAAAGAAACGACCCAGAATGACCTGGAAAAACATTGGGTTCCATTGACTTGCACTAAAAGTAGAGTAGGTTTTTCCTTCTCCTGTAAAATTAATATTTTGGAGATACGAGGTTTTCTTCTGACAACATCGAGATATATATATATATATATATATATATATATATATATATTATATATATATTATATACCTGCTGTCAGAAGAAAACCTCGTATTTCCATTTTTGTGGTTTTTCAGTTTTTGATATAATTTGAAAATACCTGTTGTTCTTTACATTGTGTGTACATTTCATGATGAATGGACCAAAAGAAACGGCCCAAAATGACTTGGAAAGACGTCTGGTTCCATTGAGTTACATTAAAAGTAAAATAGTAACTTTATAGGAAAATGAAAAAAAAACCTATTTTGGAGATACAAGGTTTTCTTTCGACAACAGCTATATACATTATATATATATATATATATATGAAATATAAATATATATATATATATATATATATATATATATATTTCATACACAGTATTGTGCAAGAGTGCACCTTTCATTTGTTCCTGTCACAATTGCCATTACATTATACATTTTTGGGATGATGAGGAAAAAAACCAAAAACCTCAGAAAACATGTAACAGAAAATTACACAGAAGCCCCAATAACTACATATCAATTTTATCTGTAAATAGTGTGTTGACCCTTTGTCTTTATAACAGTTTCCATTCTTTTCAGGCTACCTGCTTTTAGTTTTTCAAAGACATGTGCAGGGACGTTTTTCCACACCTGCGAAGTTCAGTCCTAGACGTTAGTTGCATTTTCTGCTTTTCACGATCCAAGTAATCTTACAGATTCAGTGATGCTGAGGTCTGGACTCTGGGGTGGTCAGTTTTGAGGACAATTCTGGTGGTCTACAAGGTCTTGCAAGAGGAATCAGTAGTCCTAATTTTAGGAGTCCCATTTTGTCTGTACCTTTTATAAAAAGTTTAAAAGTCCAGTTTTGAAAATTTGTGTTTTAATTTATTTCTCCTTTCTGTTTTGACTGGAAATTAAATAAAAATAGGGTGGTCTCTGACTTTCGCATAGTAATGTACGTACTAGCAATGTTAACATTAAAGCTAATGTGCTGTTTACTATTGCATTTAATGAACTGAAGCAATCAGATTTAAATACCTTTATTAAAATAACATCTTTTAAGCTATAAAACAACAAATGCTACTCAGAACAAAGTCTTCTTTGGAGCAGTGGCATCCCACTGCTGCTACAAAAGAAGAACAGTACAATAAAAGGTTGTGACATCACTTGTGTACTTTTACATTACTCAGAGGCCATGCATCACAGTGAGGCTCCACAGGTGCACCACGATAGTGGCTCAGGCTCCGTTGTACCACCATCTTAGTCTTACAACAACAGCAACAAAGCGCCACAACCATCATCATGAAATAAAGCAATTAAAGCAGCGGTCACCTTCCTCATCCAGTGATAATTTCAGATCCCAATGCATAATTCATCAGCTTGAGCAGTAACTGTTACCACCTTGGACAACAGTTACTGGATTGGTTATGCTGTAATCTTGGGCCCAGCTCCAGGCCTTTGCCTTTCCTATGGAAGACTGGGGATCACTGGATTTCGACCAGACAGACCACTTTGTGGCAAATTTGAAATGTCAGGACTATTGCTATTTCAGTTATCTACTTGAGATATGATTGTGCTGCACTTGTGACATTCTGGTGCTTTTATGAAGCATTGTTTTCAGGTGCCATGTGTGCTTGCATCATTTTAGACAGTCTGACAATCTAGCTGCAGTAGCTTGCTCTGTGGTGAACAAGTGGCATGATCAAGAATAAATAATCAGAGTCATTCTCTATGAGGTGCTGTTCCTCTTTAAACATATCCAAAGAGCAATTACTGGCTATGTTTCTGGTTTTCCCTTGAGGGAGGTGGGTGGTGGATTTCATTTTCATTAAAACAAAAACATCTTTTGCTCTAGAAACCAAACCAACGAGAATCATACTGTGTGCCCTCTGCTCCTCTGCTGCGGCAGCAGACTGGTCTCTGAGACTCGTAAGGCAGAAGAGAGGGTCAGAAAGGCAATGTGGTTTTGGCTGCCCGTCTGGGGTGGCTCCTCACTGCAGTGATTTGTGTGTGCTGGGGTGGGATTGGGTCAGTGGGGGGGCGTGGGTCAGACTGCCGGGGATGGTGCGTCCGGATCAGGATCGTAGTGGTGGCTTGGCTGGGGCTGGTGGTTGGGGAGGATGTCCAGTTCATCCACCTGAGGCCCGGGGTGCATGACCACCAGCTGATCCTGAGGGATGTCTGCAGCGGCAGCTGCCAGGTTGGTGATGGATTTGCTCTTCACACACTGGAAGTCTACATGGCGGCTCTTGCCCTCTTCTTTTTCCCAGGACATGCGGATGAAGGGCCTCTGCACGTAGTTATAGATGACCTCAGGCCGACCGCCGGGACGTTTCTTCACTTTCTCTTTGTAGGTTGGATAACCTGAGAGGGTGGAGGACCACATGCACAGTTTATACTACTGCAGAAAAGAATGAGCTCTAACAATTTTAATTAGGGATGCATCGATATAGAAATTATGGGCCATTTCATCTGCTGATACCAATAGGGTAATACTGACAAATTGTAGAAATTTGGAATACATACACCTGGGTTAGCATTACAGAGAAATGTAACATTTATTTGTAGAGAGTTATAAAAATATTATTCAAAGCAAATATCTCCCAATACCGATGTGATTCTGAAATCCTCATCACTTATTTTAAATGTAGTGATAATGTAGTTAAAAAGTTTCCCAACCCTGGTCCAGGAAATCCCCTGCCCTGCATATTTGGGTGTTTTCCTTGATGCTTTTCCACGAAAACTGATCAGTCAAATATAGCTTTTAATTATAAGCCCTTATTGACTTAAAGTATGGTGTTTTGGAGCAGAACACTAAAATGAGCAGAGCCAAGGTACTCTAAGTCCCAGGGTTGGAATGCACTGTAAAAGAGCATTTGAAAAAACATTCAGAAAGGCATGCATTCAATTTGAACAATATGCTGGTAAGTAAATTAGAATTGTGTGGTAAGAACCATTATCACTCATCCCGTAACCCAATCTCCTACCTTCAATGCCTAATCTGATTTTCTTCAGTCCTCTCTCCTTTAAAACGGACTTGGCTACATCTCGATTCTCGATGTATTTGAAGAACCGATACAGTTTTGTGCTGTAGATAACTACAAAAACAGAAGAGAAAAAAATGAAAATTGGTCATATGTGTATTCACCATGATGACAACATACATTTTTCAGTTTAAAGCTGAGATTAATTCTAAATACAATAAACACAGCTGGTTTCATTGCTGTTTGTTGCAATTACAACTTTCTTTCCATTTCATTTTAGTTTCATCTGAAAATTGCCCTTTGGCTCTATATTTAAACCCTCTATGAAAGGAATATAAATAACACCACACTGATAACAGCACTTACTCTGAGAGTACTCCTCGCCCATCTGCGGCGGGTACTCTTCATCCCAGTCCACCACATCATCATCGGTCAGCACCACAACATGGCACTCCCTCTCTCCACTCTGGGCGCTGGCCACCATTAGCGGCAGCACCATCTCCTCCAGGTATGACTCAAACTGCCTTCGTGCACCGTCGTTGGATAGCTCGTGCATGAGTGCGCCTATTCAAGACAAAATAGAACAAACATCTTTAAATATCCCAGTTTAAACTGCTCGTCAGTTAGCACTACATATTATGCACCAGAATCTGGTGCTGCTCAATATAAAATAGCAATTAAAGAACACAGAAAATAACAGACATTAATCTACAATTATGGTAGCAAAAATTATATTTATTAGATTAGATTATTATTACATTATTATTTTATACTGTAAATAATGATATATTGTAATCTAATACAGTAGCAATGTAATAAACATACTGTGTGCATGTGTTATTATATACTATACAGTACAGTACTGTGCAAAATTCAGAGACCACCTTTCATTTAATTAATTTCCAGCCAAACCAATGACCACAGAGTACAAATTATTAATTTCTTAAGAGATATTTCTGAGAAGGTTATTAAAAGATACAGAGAAATTTGAACTCCTAACAACTGTGCAAGACCTGGCGGACTACCAAAACTATCACCATCAGTACTTTCATTGTTGAGAGGAGAAAATTATAGCTACACTCTTGCTTTAGCTCTGAAAAAAAAAATCCACCATTGTTTCTGTCCATCCTTCCACAACTCATCACTATGGGTCTGAAAGGATGTGTAGCTGACAAAAAGAGAACATTTTCTGATCAAACAATGAAGATATTGGTGTTCTCAGAACAATGGACTGACCACCCCAGAGTCCAGACCTCAGCATCATTAAACGAGTTTGGTATTACTTACATCTTACATACAGAAAATGCAACCGACTTCTAAAACTGAACTTTGGAGGCGCAGAAAAATATAAATATATGTAATAAAGGCAAAGAGTGGACACACTAATACTGAGAAAACTGATATTATATTTATTTGTTGAGGCTTCTGTCATTTTCTGTTTTTTTCCTGATGCTGAAATATGAGTAACTTGCTCCGATTAAAAAAATGAAAAGGTGGTCTCTGCCTTTTGCACAGCACTACATATAATTGATGAATATACTAAAGCACAGTAATTACAGTTGCAAGTACTCTAAAAGTGTGCCATTCGCAGCTGATTATTCCAATGGAGGCACTACATATTATGTAATTCAGTTGTTTGTGTTTACCAATATGCATGCATATTGCTAGCATTTTCGCCCAGAGACAGAGAAAGGATTTCTCTCAGTAACATGTGCTGACATGCAAAATGAAAGGTCAGAAGCAGGCATAAATTAACACCGAAGACAATTCAATCAATAGCCATTGCGGCCAGTGACCCATATCTGACAGGCACACCAGAAACTATTGACCTATTTCCATTCTCTCCAGGAGTCATCCATTGGATGCAGACATCCAAGACACAGCACTAATGACTCAATCTGTCTAGCATCCGGCAATCTACACTCCTGACGAGTCCTTTTCCACTCAGGCAGACAGCTTGAATTTCAATGCATGTTAACGAATACTCACTCAGGTCCCTGCACTTGATGGTGCTGTAGTCGAAGGAGATGCAGAGGTAGTCACATGCCTCCCTCAGCTCGGGAATGGAGATCCCATCAGGGCAGCGGATTATCCCTGATTTGTAGTAATCCTGCCATGTAAAAAGAGAGAAAGACGCAGGGGGAAAACAAGCGGGCAGCCATTACTGCAGCGGTACTGCACACACATACACAAATAGACACACAGCGGAGCGCAGCAAATGGTTCGTCAGCTACACAACGCTGCCCCCTCCCCTCATGCACACTGATGCATTCTAAACCTGCCAAATGGAAAGCACTCGAATGCACAAACAATATGGAGTGCAACATTCCCTACAAAATAGGAGCTCAAAAGGGGCTGAGTGGTTCTGCAAAGTGGGGCTCGAGCGTTTCTCCAAGCGCTCAGCGCATCCTCGTTTTCTACTGCCCTGAGCTTCATGTTGGAAATGCTCAGAATAAAAGCAAAGGACTTAGAAGGGAGCCAGACCTGCTACAGTGTTGGCATATGACAATTCTCCCTAATCTAGTTCCCAACACAGCTCGCTGCAGCTTAAACAATTTCTTATTAATATCCAGGAAACGGCCTCCAACAGATTTTCCTTTTACTATTCAAAGACAACAAACGAGCACATAGCTAAACGAGGAAGTGAGGGAGCGGTTTACCTTTTTCTCTTGCTGTGCGTCTCTGGAGGCTAGAGCAAACGGAGGGATCAAGCTAGCACAGAAATGAAAACAGCAGCACGCTGTGCCGTATTAGTAGCTTATCCTCGAAAAGAGGCGTTGCATAACGCTACACTGATTATCTGTGCTGCACTTCCCCTTTCAAAAAAACCCCAAAACAAAACAAAACAAAACAAAACAACCCTCAACATGACAGATTTAGTCTCGTCTGGCCTAGCCGACTTCTCACACAAGTTCAAATATTATACACTATATAAATATGATTTTAATAAGCACGATTTTGCAAATACTGAATACAAAATGTCACTGAGGCTTAAAAAGTAACTACAACTGCATGTCCCATTTGACAACAGATCATGTTCAAAGCCACTTTGTCAAGTTCAGCACCAGCGAGCACTCCAGAAGCTTCATGAACAGACAAACCTCTCACTGCTAGAGCTGCCCAATAACAGCACAAACCAGAAAGGGAAAGTTCATGAACAAACTTGCTTCATAGGTTAAAGCAGCTGCAGAACACTGTTGATTATTTCTGATTACTTAACTGGGTTTATTTAACAATTCTAGGTAGTTGCTAAGGTGTTGCTACAAGGTTGGTATGGTACTCCAGCTTGTAATTAGGGTGTTGCTTGGTGTTTGTCAAGGCGTTATGCCACTGCTATGGTATTCCAGGTGGTTGCCAAGGTGTTGCTAGGCCGTTGCTATGGTATTCCAGGTGGCTGCTAAGGGGTTGCTAGGCAACTGCTCTGTTACCACAGGTGGTTGCTAAGATGTTGCTAGGCCATTGCTATGCTATTCCAAGTAACTGCTAAGGTGTTGCTTGGTGATTCCTTTGCTATCTCAGGTTGTTGCTAAGGTGTTGCTAAGCCAATGCAATGCTATCCCATGTAGTTCTTAACATGCTGCTAGGTTGTTGCTGTGAATGAACAATAATAATAAGAGGAAAATGAAGAACAGTAAGTTGGCTTGAAAAACATTAACATTAACACAACTATTAAAGTCAACTATTGCCCTTTTTAACCTTGTTAGTCCATGTCCCTGCTCACATCAAGCACAATTCATCATATATCACAGACAAAATTATCGTTTTCCTGTAATCTTTAATTAAAAATTTTATTCTACCTATCTCTAAAACATCTGAGTTTTGATTACATCACTGCACACCAGCATGCGGGGAAATTATTAACTAATAATCCTGCTCCACCTCCACTTCCCACTACCACCACCATCACCACCACCTAATAAGAGATAATAGCTCAGAGACCCTCCCTGATACTTTGTTTCACTCAAAAATACCTCAGTACAGAGGGAAAAAGGCACTATGATTTCTGATTCTGCTGGAAAACAAAAAGGACCTGGACAGAGACCACACCAAAAGGAGAGAGCCCATTTAACACAAAGAGTAAGCATGAGTTATCCCTGGACATCAACAGGCCTTAACACCAGACACTCTGCCTGAATCTTGGCCAAACTAAAGCAGCAGCACACTTTGCTGATTCTCCCTCTTTCCTTTTAAAACGCTGTGAATCACTGCAATGAGCTTGAAAAAGAGTCGCTATATGCTGAAGTCATGAAGATTGTGATACTGCAGTCTAATCCAACACTTAATCAATATACTGTAAACACAGTCTGAGCAGGATATTTAAACCTCAATAAAGACAAAGATTTCTGAAGCAAAGTGCACTCACCAGAATGGCTCGGAATACGGTAGAGCTGATGCCCTCCGCGACTTCGTACTCCCCCTTCTCATTGGGCCGTGTGAAGTTATACTCCCTCCCAGCTCCAAACATTCTGCCAAACACATTGTTGCTATTTCAGTTTTTTTTCAATTCCACTCAAAATAAACTTATTAAACGAATAAAGATCCAATTGAGAACACAAGCCTCATTTACAACAGGGTCCTGTACAAGCACTAATGTATCACTCATATTTCCCTTAAGCCTTCTAGATTAGAAAGATACACGACAAACACAAATACCAACATTACAAATGAAAAAAAAAAAAATCATCATTCTCACCTGCCCAGCATGGTGTTGGGCTGAGCTGTGAAGATTGCAGGGTCAACAACAAAGCGTGTGTTGTCGACGATGAGGGTGACCCTCTCTGCAGTCCTGATGCTGCGGGAGCCCTCCTTAGCAGTTTCATAAACATAAATCATGTCCGAGCCATGAGATTTACTGTGGGAATCTCCACAGACAGAGCCGGAGGAGCAGCCCTTCTGAGGCCTGGGGCTTGCTGATCTCAACCATGAGCCCACTTCCCTGTCTCGATCTGTGAGTTTAAGTCAGAATGCAACCACCATTCATGCATATAACAATAACAATGACAAAACAAGAAATCTAATAATAATAACAATAATAATAATAATGAGTATCTTATACAGTGTAGTCCAATGGTAATTGGATAGTTTATTGCTTTAGCTCTGTACTCTAGCAGATTAAAATCCTTGACTGCCTATAGCCACATTCTTTGCTTGGCATGCAATGTAGCCATTTTCAATCCTGTTTTGCAAAGTCTTTTCTTCAGTTAATAATCTCCTGAATTCAGTTGTTTGTTTACTTTATTTGGAGTGTCCAAATACATAACTGTAGATGTTTTACCTGAAAGGTCACTAAACATTTAACAGGTGTAATACAGACCATCTCAACATCCTCAACAAGCTGTTATAGACATGCTGCTGACACCATTCTGTAAGTGTAAGTTTACCTGGAATCGCTTTTAGGTAAGGTAAGGGTTAGAAATAGGGTCAGGATGAGGGTTTGTCTTAGCTTTTGGGTTGGGGTTAAGGTTAGTGTTAGGATTAGGGCCAGAGTGAGGTTTAGGAATAGGTTTTGGGTTAAGCTTAAGGTTAAAGTTAGGATTAGGGGCAGGGTTTGGATTAGGTTTTGGGTAAGGTTGGGTAAGGTTAGGTTTTGTGTAATGGAAGTAACATAGTTAATCTACTTCATGTAACGTATCAACAGTACATCTTAAGGTATTTACCTCAATGTATTTAGATGCTTCACTACTGCTACTTCACTGATATGTTGTTGATGTGTTACTATTAATCATCTACAAAGGACTACTCAAAATAGTGTTACCAAAAAACATTCCATCTTTTGAAACAAAGACTCCTGATTAGTTAAGATCTGTACGTACACTTCATTCTATTGCAAGCAGTCATCATTGAGCCAGTTCAACTGCAGCACGTTTTAAAGCTGAGGTGATATGCTTTGGGTAATTATTATTAATCACTTTGTACAGGTTAATCTCCTTCCCATCTGTCCATAAGACTGAGAAAGACTTCGTTTTTTAGCAAATCATAAATCCTTCTTTTCAGTCTGACAAATAATCGTTTACATCCTGCACAACATTCTTGATATGCTGATCAGGTTTTTGTCATGACTGAAAATATTCTTCTGCCATCCCCAGAACCTCCATCTGCCAGACTGTTTGCCAAGTTCAAAACTTCATGATTCTTGGTATGTTTCAAAAACAACTGATGCTGGTACAGCTAATGTTTTGGCATTATCTCTGAGTGATGTACTCTGTTTTTTGAGCCTGCTTTACTGGCATCTTTGATCCTCATATTGTAAGATATCAACAGCAGACTCCAGATGTCACATACAGAATCAAGGCTAGTACTTTTATTAGCTCTCTTGTGCATGAATCAATGATGCAAAAACATCCGGCTAAGGAACAACTGCAAAGGCAATTTCCATATTACTTACAGTTCCCTGAAATAGCAAGATTGTTTATAAAAGAGGGCTGTAATTATTTTGTGCTGCTGGAGTGCAGAGCCAAAACAACACAAATAGTTCAAGTTACTTATTTATGCTCTAAAATATGTGGGGCGTTAGAACTCATATTCAGATTACTCAATACAGAATTCATATTTTGTTTTGATACAATACAGTGGTGTGTCCATTTAATACATTTCTCAAAATAGCAAAAAATAGCCTAAAAATGTATCTTATGTTAATGTTTCTATTTACAGTTTATTAGAGTATTTCAATGTTATAAACATACAATATTTGAGAATGGCAGAGCAGGGGTTTTCCTAATTCAAACAGACGGTTTTATTAGCAGCACAGAAGCAAAGAACAAGTGCTTTATAATGTCCCATTTTAACATGCTAGCTACGAGACAATGATGCAATATAATGCAACATATTGTTGCAGCCCTAATCTATATAATAGAAGATTAGTGGTATAAAATTAATACCAGTATGACATTATCTCATGATATGCATTTTGCCATACTGTAGATCCTGTGATAAGCCTTGAACAACAAATCACAAAAAACACCCAAGGCAAACTAACCATGAGCATAAACAGCTTAAATAGATCTTATAAAATCAAAAATAAGCGCATTTTAGACCAAGAGCGCTAACTGCGCTGCTAAGGGCTGCTGGCAGTACTCTCTCACGATAATCACTGCAGCCTTTTATATCAGCCTTAAATACAGCATAAAATATTATTTTAGACTAGAAAATAATTGGAACTGTAGTTGAATGGGGAGGTACAAAAAATAAACAATGAAGAAGATAAAGCTGTAAACTGTCTCATGATGGTTGGTTAGTTAAGATTAACAGTAAGGACTACTTCTATTACTAACAATAATAATAATAATAATAATAATGATAATAATAATAATAATAATAATAATAATAATAGCAATAATAACAACAACAACAACAATAATAATTAGCTATTATTTTTATTGTTGTTGTTGATATCTTGACATCATACCATTATCACCTGAAAACACATGCACAGACATTATGGCTTGGCATGATGGCAAGTATGTTTAGGATGAATTTGGTTGTCCCTGTCTCACCGCTGAGCTGCTGTCGTGTAGGTGAGGTAACGTTTCTGATGCAGGGTGTGAGCTGGCCCTCAGCTCTCTCGTGGGATGAGTCCCTGGAGCGGTCTCCAGAGCGACGCCTCTCCCTGCAGCGCTCCAGGCCACTGCTGGCCCCATGTCCGTGACTCATTCTCACCGCCTCGGCCTCCAGCTGAGAACCCCGGGGCTGACTACTGCAGTAACGCACAGACACAGGTGCACAAGAGACAGAAGTCAGACAGAACCATGCGGAAACGCACGCGCACACTAACCTGTAATGAGGAAGCGGGGTGACTGAGTGCATTGCTGCAGTCTGGAATACGCAGCAACAGTCTGCAGTAAACTAGACTGAACTGAACTACTGCAGTTTAACAAATGCTGTAAAATGGCTAAAACTCAACGGCGAGAACAAAATAATGCGAAACATATACATCTATAGTTCTGTGCAAAGGTCAGGAAACATTGTACATTCGCTACTCTCCTCGATGAAAGCTCATGCCATGAGGCATTAAGAGATTTTGGGTCTATAGCCAACTTACATTTAAGAGTGCCATGGATATTCACTTTTTTTCAAGTTTTTGAAGCCCACTCCATAGAGCACCCTCAACATAATGTATTTATGTGCCTATGATTAGCACTTCCTATGTAATTTTTTGAACACTGTTCAGTTATTTAATTTTACACAAAAGCCTCAACAACTAAACGTATTTTTTCAGTATTAAGTGTATCCACTGTTTACCATATTACAGCTTCCATTCTTATTAGGAGACTCGCTTTCAGTTTTTCAAAGAAATCTGCAAGGATATTTTTCCACACCTCCAAAGTTCAATCTTAGAAGCTGGTTGCATTTTCTGCTTCTCACAATTCAAGTCATTTTAAACAAACTCATTGGTGTTAAAGTCTAGACCCTGGGGTGGTCAGTCCATTGTTCTCAGAACACCTGCAGCTTATTTGCTTGATTTACATATTTTCTCCTTTTTCTGTTTATTTCCTTTTCTCAGTAACGGCTTGACCGCTACACATCCTTTCAGACCCACAGCGTTGAGTTGTCTTTTCACAGTAGAAGGAGAGAAACAGCTGTGGGTTTTTTAATCTTTAGCAAGAGTGGAGCTTGATTTTCTCCTAGCTCTCAAATATGAAGCTGTTAAGTACAGCTTATCTGATGGTGCCAGTTTTGGTGGTCTACCAGATCTTATGAGGAATTCCATTTTTCTCTATTTCTCGTAATAATTTTATAAACTCCGGTTCAGGAAACCCCTGTTTTTTCACTTATTTTCTTGGACTTGCCCTTCCTAATACAAAAGGGTTGTCTTATATCTAACCTCCTCAGAAACAGCACTAGAAAAAAATAATACCTTGTTCTTAATGCCAATTTTGACTGCAAATTACATAAATGAATGATATTCTCCTGACTTCTGCACAGTACTGTGCACATCTATATACAAAGGTGAATGGTTGTAGCTTAGTGGTCAGAGAACCTTTCCATTAATTAACAAGTCATGAGCTTGAGCCCTGTGTCCTTGACCAAGTCACTGAACCAAATTGACAAAGCCAATGCAGTTAGATGCCCTTCAACTACTTTAGGAAAAAAGCAAAATCAACACAAACACAAGTACTTAGACATGAGAGCACTCATAACTATGGTATGGACAATGTAACCTTGGTGGGTGATGACACTGATTAGGTTATTGATGAATTCCATTCTGATTTTGCTTCAGTAATGCTGCAGACAGTGAGAATTAACCATTTTAAACAAACAATGGACAATGTGCAAATGGTGCAACATTAACAAGTACAGACTCTCACTAGGGAATCAGTTAGGACCACTTCTAAAAGCAATCACACCTTCTGAGTGGAATGCAGATCCTTTTTTGATAAAATGTGTCTTCATCTTTTGGGACCACATTACCCAACATGATGACGCTGGCCCTTGGGGCAAGGGCACAAGAGCACAGAGTGAAGATGAATAGCTTTGGCATAGAGACTGGAGTTCAAAACATTTCCCTTTGTCATCCTCACAGAGAGAGACATCCGCTTGTTTCTCTCCAGGCCCACACAAACACTAGCCTACCACGAACCCAGTCAAGCGTTTGGGGGCCCAAATTTTCTGCTGGTTGAATAAATGATGAATAGGCTGGAAATAGTGCTCATATTAGTTGAGTGAAAGTCTTTGACCCCATCCAGATTCCTGGGTTTCTGCTTCCTTGCACTACAGAACCAGCCAAATGCCATCTGACCCCATTAACCAACTCAAGCACGTGGACATCAGCCAGTTTCTTTTGCTCAGAGCACTGATAAACTCCACACCAGCTAGAAATTGAAAACATCATGTGGTATATAAACTTTCATGTTATAGGACACGTTCTGCCTATCCATAACGGCAAAGACCATTTCTGTAGAACATCTGAAAGTGATGCTATGAGAGTGATTAATTTGTCTCTAAACAAAGTACAAGCTTGGTTGTGATTGGTCAACACAGAGAAGCCTACCACCCAAACTCCTGCCCTGTAATTACCAACATATACAATCGTGTGGAAAAGTTTGGGCACCCCTGGCTGAGTTCCATTCGTTGGTTTTCAAAGTGAAAATAAATACAAACCCCTTTACAATTACTTTTTATTTGCTGAATTTAACACATTGGAGGGGGGATATATATACTGTGGCCTATGCAAAAATTATGGCACATTTTATATTTTATTAATAAAATTCCATTAAATATTAAACAGCAATTAAATAAAAAGTGTGCACTAAAATTTGCTGATGTTAACAAAACGTTCAAAGCATTCAAAATATCGTATCAAAATTTAATACTGCATCACTGGTCTCTTCCGAGTGGCTCTCATTTGCTGTATTTCATGAAAACCAGTCAACGGTAAAAAATCTGAGTGCATCCTATCAGAGTACAGTGGGGAGGGAGGGGCGGGACTTCTGCTGTGCAGGCACTCAGGCTCAGATGACTGAGCTTTTTCTTTTCCAGTCACTTATAAATCACAGAATTTGCATCTGTAGTTGTATAAACTGGTACGCAGTAGTAAATAATAAGAGCTCTACAGAATCAAGACAATTTGAACACATAAAATAATGAAAATCAAATCAAATCTTCAAGAGACCTCAAGATTAAAAACTGAACTGAATCTGTAAACATGTATAGCACCTCTACTTAAAACACTTTATAGCATTATACAAAGCTAGCATAAACCAGTTTCCATATCGTAGCCCTGTATTTCATCTGCACTGCTTATTTAACCTCATTTAACCCTGTACAGGGCTAGAATTAGCTGGAGGTTTGAATCATGTATGATGGAAGCAAGAAAACACTAAAGTATGCATATCCTTTTTCACTCGACCTGGAAAAACTGGCATAAACATCCAAGAGATTTTTACACCTTATCTAATGTAGGTCGAGTATCTTATACACATCCTTACATTCAGGACTCCTGGCAGTCTGAGCTGTGCTGCCCCCTATTGTTACTACTTACAGGTCTGAGCGGTGCTGTGCTCCCCACCCTCAAGGTGTCAAAGTCACACTCAGTGAGAGCCCCATCGGCTAGTCCTGAAAACGATTCGAGTTATGAAGACCCTTTTCTGCGTGCACTCGTTCCTCTAGAGCTCTAACGGGGACAGAACGCGTTGTGTTACTTAAAGAGAAAGTCACATCAATAATTCATCCCTCGCTGAGTCTGCTACTCTTAATGCTTAACGGATCGACTGAGGTTAGAGTCCGCACCTGCTTTACAATCGCTCAAACAAAAGGACACGAGGCATCGACAGAATAATTCATTTAACGTGGAAGCCATGCATCTCCTTTCGAAGCTAATCATTCCATAGCTACGCTTACAAACCCACAAACGCACGCGCGCGAGCTCTCATCGGACACCGCGCGAGCGCCTCTTTCTCTCCTTTGTTCCCCCGGTCCACCTACCCGTCCGCCTCGCCCGGTGACCGAAAGCCGAAGCAGCAGCTCGGGAGCAGCTGAGGGACGATGGCTCGCAGGACTCTCGCGCCTTCACACCACGCAGGCTTGCCCGCGTGCTCAGCATCCTCGGGCATTCCTTTCAAACTTCAGCATATTTCGAGCACACTCGGGCTGAGCAGGCTCGCGCTGCTGCTGCTGCTGCTGCGAGGCGGGCACGGTGCTTCTGCTGCCGCTCAGTGGCACGCTAACCCGGAGCAGCGCCTGCCTGTATGAATGGCTGCTCTCTGTGACACGGAGACGGAGCCGGGCTGACGTAGACGGAGCCCTAAAAATATGTCCATTAAACACAAAAAACGTGCTCGCTCCTCTAATAGCCCAGTGGGCACTTCGCTTAGAAAACTAGGGCTGCTATGCACATTAGCATATAAGCGTTTATATAAAAATATATTAGATTTTTTGTGCATAGAAGAATTTTTAACGCAAATCTATTTCATTTTATATGTCTTATTAAATACAAGGAGGCGTCTTTTATACCTTATCTTGGACCACTACTTCAAAAACATTATATCAAAAACCAGCGTTCAAAAGTTTGGAATCACCTGTCATATTAATAACCGCTGTTATTTTATTTGACTTGTACAGTGTTGATTGAAATCCTAAGTGCTATAAGCTTTTTGGGAACACCAAAAAGTTAATAAATGATGAATAACATACTGTAATTATTTACTTATTATATAATTTCTTGATCTAGATTTGATAATCACTTTTAAATCACTTTTAAATATCAACCTCACCAACCTTGGAATCACTGGCTCTGCGTGGAAGTGGTTCAAGTCCTATCTGGCGGATCGCTCTTATCAGGTAACATGGAGAGGGTCCACATCCTCTCCATGCAGGCTCTCCACTGGTGTCCCACAAGGCTCGGTGCTAGGTCCTCTTCTCTTTTCTCTTTACACTAGCTCTCTTGGCAATGTTATATCATCTCACAGCTTCTCTTATCACTGTTATGCTGATGACACTCAACTAATGCTTTCTTTCTCGCCCTCTGACACACAGGTTTCCAGTTGGATCTCGGCATGAATGTCTGACATCTCTTCATGGATGGCAGCCCACCACCTGAAGCTCAATCCTAGCAAGTCTGAGCTGCTATTCATCCCTGCAACTACAGGTCCTCATCATGATCTTGCCATCACATTTGAGAACTCTCCGATTGTCCCGTCTGTAGAGGCAAGAAGTCTTGGTGTGGTTCTGGATGGCCAGTTATCGTTCTCGACTCAGACTGCAAACCTTACTCGGTCATGCAGATTTCTCCTGTACAACATCCGGAGGATCCGACCCTTTCTCACCTGAGAGGCCACCCAGGTGCTAGTGCAGTCTCTGGTCATCTCAAGGCCTGACTACTGGCTTCCTGTAGCTGCACACATCAGATTTAAAACCCTAATGCTTGCCTACAAAGCCAAAACTGGACCAGCCCCTCCCTACTTGATGGCAATGGTGAGATCTCGAACTGTACCACGAGCCCTTAGAGCTTCGAGTACAGCTCGGCTTGACCCGCCATCCTTCAAGGCGCGCGGAAGGCAAGCATCAAGACTGTTCTCTGTGCTGGCACCCAGGTGGTGGAATGAACTCCCACTGGCTGTTCGTACAGCAGAGTCTCTTGCTGTCTTCAAACGCAGACTGAAGACACATCTCTTTATACAGCACTTAAATGAGCACTGAATTAAGTATTGACTGTAAAGTATTGTACTGCACTTATGTATTGTATTGTATTGCACTGCTCTGTGTTTAACTTTGTTCCTTTTTCTCTAGGTGTCTATAATGACTCTGATTCTAGCAGTATCTGAGCTCAGGACTGGCTTTCTCTCTAACCTATTGGTAACTAGCAAAGATACTTCCTCTGGATAGACAAAGCACTTTTTGTAAGTCGCTCTGGATAAGATGTAAATGTAAATGTAAATGTAAATGTAAATGTAAATATGAGGCATTCTGCGTGTTCATTTTATTATAACTTAATTATCATTGTTATATGGCTTTCTCTGTCATTATGCCACCATTTTTAGCTCTGGTTGAAATATGTGCAGTTCTAGAGAGGTAGTCATATTGGAATCATGTTATACATTTATATGCATTCTCCCCATGTTTTAGTACTGTTTTATTGAAAACAATGATCTCAAACTTTTGAAATGTGACTCCAAACCTCTGAGTCCAATAAATACAACTTAAATATCAAATATCAACTTTAAAATATTGGTCAAATAGAAACCAGGGATGGACAATCAAAATTGGCCAAGACCAGAATTGTCAGATTTTTACAGAAAACACAAAAACGGCCAATTTATTTTTTTTATTTTGGCAGATCTGTGCTTCAGTTTTATGACGTAAGTAATGTGCGGTGAGTGCACTCGCCCTCTATTTAAATGCTGCTGCTACACCTGAACAAAAATGCAGTAGCATAATTCTGCATGACTCCTTGTGCTCAAAAGCCAGTCACCTCTTGCTTTCAGCATCATGCAGCGCTTTATTTGATGCCTGTCATTTAAATAAGCAACTGATTTAAAATTGAAAAATGTAAAATGCCAGTTTGGCTCATTAAAAGAGCAAATAAAGTTTGTTTATATCGCAGGTAAAAAAGTAGTGGAAACACGCTAGTATGTTTCAGGTGTTCATTTAGCCCATACAGTATGAGCTTCGGATTGAAAAAAAAAGGGCTAATAAAAAAATTAAATAAAATAAAAAAAAATAATAATATTAGCCAACAAACATCAGTCAGAAACTGATCATTTTTTAAAAGCAATTGTGTGTCCAAAATGATGAAACTAAAATGAAAATTGAAATTATTCCAGTATCATTGTGTTTCCCTGCTGGTTAGCATAAACTTGTGAGTCCGTCAGTGATGGATGCGGCATGTAGATTTCGCACTGCTAAAACAACTACGAACATAACACAGTAGGAATAGGACACATTTTTAAACTCCTGCCGCTCCATAGGTGTTTTGCACACTACAATTTTGCTCAGAGAGCATGAATACTACATTACAGACTAGTACTTGTGAAATAACTAAGTTGTATATGGCTATTCTTCAAATTCTGACATAGTGCACTTGATAATGCTGCACCAATGGTTTGGAACAGACTAAACAGTTTGCAAAGCACACTAGCAACGGCCAAAATTGTACTCGCTACTTAAGCTTTTTAATTTCAACACAAGTAGACTTACTGGAGCACAACTTACCAAAAAACACACATGGCATGTGATTTTTTTTTATTTTACAAATGCAATCTAAATGACACTTGTGTGTTGTTTGAAATGCCATTCAAACTGCTTGTCTTGAGAGACACTGTAGTCTAAATGTTCAGATCTGTTCCAAATTTTCTTTCATTACTCATATTTGACTTCATATAACATGTTGCACGAAATGTGATGGTAAGCACTGTTGCCCATGCTTACACCACAATAACAAACCAAGGGAATCATGCCACAAAATGAACACCTGAACACACTGCTCTGATCACTCTGCAAAGGAAATCATGGAGAGATAGCCTTTCAGATCAGCCAGCTATGCCACATGACAAACGTAGGACATGTAACAATGAAAAAAGGAGAGAACTCTGACCAGGAGATGCTGCTAAAAAGTTCCAACTATGCGAAAAAATGACTGGGATGTGATTACGCCACTAATGTTTAGAGAGGTTTAGAAGGATGCAGAATAACACTTTGACAAAAGAAAAAACAATGATGGTGTAATGAGCTGTGACTTGGGCAAAATCAATATTTTCTTGTCTTTTGTGTTAACCATGCAGGGAAAAACCCCTAAAGATAAATGCATAAAATAATCATCGAAGTTACAGAATATGATTTATACTTAAATATCACAGTACTGCATAAGGAACAATGTAGAATAAGGGGGTCTGAATCTTTCATCAGTGACCTTGAGATAACCTTAAAATGTAGCCCTCGAGAGCTCCACTTAAGTCCTTTCTGTTTAAATACTGTTAATTCCTATATGAAAGTACATGTGTGAAAGGTGCTTAAGTATATTACATCCAGTTTCAAAAGACACAAAGAAAGCCCTTGAAAGAGTTTTACAAGGAAAAGTATAATGAAAGAGCTTTTAGCACATAATGTCTTCATTTCCCATATTCACCCTCTGTTTTACTTAAGCTCATGTGTGTAGTAATCAAGCATATTATTACACGGCTTATTTTTATATGACAATTTCCTAAAGTTCAATTGACAGACCACACTTTCCTTTTAACAAAAGATCTGCAATATAAAATGCTGCTCAATTTTCCAAATGACGCTGTAGCACAGCACATTGTACAAGTAATATAATTTACATACAATATACATGACTGTAGCATAGCAGGAGATAAAATATTATCCATAAGTTAACTTAAGTTGCTTATTGCCCCGGCCACTACATTTCACATTTTGGCCACTACAAATGCAGAGCCTGTGACCTGATTGGTCAGACATAGAACTAATTCCATTGTGCTACCTAGACTTTAATAAACATTTAACATTTTCTTTTTTAGAGAAACACCTGACAGTTATTTGCTACTGAAGCATATTTGTTCATTTTTAAAATAATGCATATACGATGAATATGTTTCTATAATTCTAGCCATGGTGTCTTAATATATGCAAGTATTATAAACAAGTAGTAGGTAAAACAAAAGTGTGTTAGTCTTAAGGTTCAAGGCAAACAACAGATTCCCTACATGTGTCCCAGTCACACACAACCTTAATCTTCAGCTCCTTCTGTTACTAACAGGTGTTAATACATTTAGCTCCTCAAAAGCTTAATCAAACCAGCCACAACAACTGAATAAAATCTGCTGTTCTGACAGACTCCACACAGAGAGTGGTACATCCTACACAAAAATCAAACCCAAACATAAATATGTTGAAGTAAGCGTATGTATTTCTAACAATATCACTAACAGTGCATTTGAGCTTAGAATAGAGGTTCTCACTTCTGGTCTTGTGAACCAAATTCTTCTGTACAGTTTAGTGATTTCTATTGCCAGTACTCATTTATTAGAATTATAAAGTTTTTGCCATAAGTTGCATCTAGTAAATTACAGAACCTAAAACATGAGAACCCTGCCTTGGACAAATGAAGTATTTCAGTTGAAACTGTCAAGTGACCTTCCTCAAGAAATCTATGGCTGAGGAATAAAAAAAAAACTCATCATGGTGTTTGCTGACATTTAATGAAAATGTTATGCCACTGGTTATTCTCAGAAATCTGTGTAGCATCATTACCTTTTCACATGATTGTGGGAACTACCTTCTTCAGATTAATTACATTTTTGTGGCACTGGTCCGTAATTGAAACCTCTATACAATGACTGTTAATTTCCATGTAGTACACTAGCACCACTTTCTAGAACACCAGCAACAAGTGCTGGCGCTGCACAGACTTCCTACCTTGAGTGTCTGTAAACTCGGCGAGTGCGACAACTCGTTCTCTGCTCACAGTTTTCGGTGTCGCTGGAGTTGCTATCATAAGAGATGGGACGTGCAGCCATCGTTCCAGATTAAACTGTCTTATTGCAGTTGATGGGTCAGCGACTGGCATGCCCTACCAATGAAAGATAAAAATTAGTCAGCTACATACATCTGCATTCAAAGGCCTCCCATTGGTCTTTCACTTATTTGAAATTATTCAGAAAGCAAAATCTCCAAAACACACATAGCAAGTTAATCAACAATTTACAAACAGAGGTAATACACTCAGCATCCACTTTCTTAGAAAGCCCTACCTTGTACTTCCACTCAATGATCACTTCTTGAGGTGTACAAATACAGACTCTGTGCTCTGCTGAAGCTGATCATTAATTAAGGGCTAAAGGACGGCTAACACAAACTGGGCATCAACAGATGGACAAAAGTCTGTGACTGTACACCAGCAAGGTGGAGCTACAAGGAAGGGATTTCTAATGAAGTGTACATTGAATGTATAATTAAAACCCTATATGCATTTTGAGCAAAATATTGTGTATTTATACTTCAGAAATGTCCAAAAGTGCAGAGGTATGATGAAAAACATTTTCAGGGGAATTCCAGCAGTTTTTCACAGTGTCTGCACAATTAAATAATTAGAATACAACCAAAGTCATTCAGAGAGGTTTGATATGAAATTCTAGAGAAACGTACAGAGTCCGAATTGTTCACAATGTTGACAGGAACCCTACGTCTATGAGCTTAATGCCTGTAAAAGCTACATCAGAGAAAGTTAACAAATTAACAGGTTATGAATGATACAGGTTATGAACGATATGAATGACGCTGCCTGATATCTACACTATTGTTTTATGATAGCTTGAATATTTTTAAGCTAAGATCCTTTTTCCCTTTCTTTTTTATCATATGGTAAAGTAGTTCTGGATGACAACCTTCTATTTTGTTATCATCAACATTACATGTAAAATCTCAGAAGAGATATGCAGGTTCACTGGTCGTTTTGGACAGTAAATAAAATGCTTATGTTTGCATTGTAGACTCTACAACCCCTGGTTCCTATCACCACAATTATAAAGAAATTCAAGAAAGTGAGTTATGCTTCTCTACAATGAAACATTTCACAATAAACCACTCTGAATGACTTTGTCTACAACTCATCCACTGCATTACACTGAAATTTTGAAACATGAGTGGAATATCCCTTTAAGTCTGTATTTCAGTAGTACTATCAAGACGTTCACTACGACTAAAGTTTACGGGTGGCTGTGTAACCGACTTTTTGTAAGGAAACGAAACAGTGTTGATAGTAGGTGCCATGCCTATACATTTCCTAACAAGGTAGCTTAAGTCAACTTTTATACCGCTGTGCATTCTACTGAATTGCATTGCTCACAGCTTACGTTAACTGACACACACAAACCACAAATCCTTCCTGTTTAGTGTAGCTAACTAACCATTTAGCTCATTTTAAGCAGACAAAGCTATTAAAGCACTGTAACCTATATGCTTTATACACACAGCAACATTAGCTACCGAGCAACACTGTGCAGAAACGTTAACGTGCAGCGAAAGCAGACCGTTAGATAACTGCTAATAACTAAAGTTACTCGCTAGCGAGCTAACCTAGCTAAACTAGGTAGCGCTGGCTGGCTAGTTCGGCTCAACGAAAAAAGGAGAACATTTCAGAGGGTTCTCACCAGTCCAGTACTTCGGGTGAAGGGTCAACGCCTTAAATTATAAAATTAATTCAGCCTAAAATGTTTCATGTTTCGACTTCAGTCTGACCAAACAGAAACGCCAGCAACAGCTAGTCAGTTGGCTCTGTCGTCAACAGACCGGGGAAGGGGGGCAAAGGTGCTATAATAAGGCGCATGCGCAGATTGTGAACCATGGATGGGAGTTACCATAGAAACTTGCACCGATCAGCTGCTTATTATTGCTGCACGTTAATATATTAACGCATCATTCATATTTTAAAGACCACTGTAGCTTTAATACTTTAACATGAAAAAAATAATACTGGCAATCTTGTTGTAAATTATACCTCTTTTATTTCCTGGAGTAATACATTTTTCAAACATATAAGATCAATATAAAAATAGATGCAGACACATTAAAAGCATGGAAATATATATAAATAATGTTTTAAGCAGTCAAAGTGCACGATTCAATACACTGTAGGGTTAATGCAGCCAACCTGCTAAGGATTAATGAGAACAACTAAATAACTTTAAAAATGGGCCTGGAATACTCGAAGTAGCATATGTCACACACTATTCCTATAGATGGGTCCTAAGAGAAAGCTCTTATTTTGTTTTCAAGCTTCTTTGGAAAAGTATTTTGGTCCCACGCTACTCTATTCTCGCCTGGCTGCAGTAAATTTTTATTTAAAAAATGCTAGTTAAAAAAATCAAAAACATAAAAGTGCTGTCAGCTCTCATTTCTCTCTCTCTCTCTCTCTCTCTATATATATATATATATATATATACAGCTGTATATTGCCCATACAAGTAAGAGTGTATAGACTGTTTTCAGAAATACATTATAAATATTCAAATAGAAAAATAAATAAATAGCAGTATATTTCACAGGATAGAGGAAAGCGCGGAGCATTTAGGCAGACAGCCCCCCCCTCCCCCCCCCCGCCCCCAAAACGACCCACAGCAGAGGTAACTGTCCACTTTATCGCTCCGCGTCGCTCGGCGTGACGTCACTGTGCTCGGGTAGAGGGCGCCGGTCGCCGCTCGCGCTCAGCGGGGCCGTGTGGAGCTCGATCATCTTCACCTGCAGCCATTGCTGCCGCTGCTGCTCGTGCTTATGGATCCCTACGGTGTGCATGAGCTGCACCTCGCTGATGGACCTGCGGCTGCACGGAGAGAAAGACAGAGTGAGTTCAGCTGAAGTGGGACACTTTTTAAACCAACATAAGAACAGCCCCCCACTCAAGTGAGGTTACTGTAATTTAAATGGATTTTTATAGATATATAAACATGCTATATATATGTTATATGCTGATATACACCGATCAGCCATAGCATTAAAACCTTCTAGACTCATTGTCCATTTTATCAGCTCCATTTACCATATAGGTGCACTTTGTAGTTTTACCTAGTGCCAGGTAGGACACAACACACAACACACACTAACACGCCACTACCACTTAAATAATACCTGCTCTGTGGTGGTCCTCTGGGGGTCTTTACCATTGAAGAACAGAGTGAAAAGGGGCTAACAAAGTATGCAGAGAAACAGATGAACTACATTCTGTAATTGAAGAACTACAAAGTGCACCTATACGGTCAGTGGAGCTGATAAAATGGACAGTGAGTCTAGAAACAAGAAGGTGTTTTTTCATGTTATGGCTGATTGGTGTATGCAGCATCTGCACAAAAAGGACCTAACACCCCTCAAGTCAGGTGGCTTTCTGGGACAATCAGAAATAAAAACAGGACATTGCTTTCACAGGGCTGGACTTGAGGGGGGGTGCAAGGAGATACCATCCTTCTGATTAAAAAAACAGCAACAACAACATTATCTCTCTTGCAAAACTGTCCATTTTTTATACCATGTCAACAATAGGATGTGATATAACAATAAGTCAATTATGGATATTTTGATTCCATAATTTTGCATGTATTAGGATGAAAAATGTTTTTACCTGTTGCATTCCCATTCACCTTAAATACATTATCAGTAGCCCATTATCAATACCTATTCATTTTAAAACCAAAGATCAGGCAATGACATAATACTTCACAGCCATAACACTTTACAGTAGGGATTTTACCCAAATACCTAAACCATGAGCTTTGGTGATTCTTTAATTACCTTTTAATTCAAATCTAACTAGTTCATATATCATAGATGGATGAAATGCAAAATTACTTGTACTTGCACTTGCACTTAAAGGCAGTTTTAATGGATTTTTACTTTCTTGAGAACGTTAAAAACAACGATTTTAGTTCTGTTCGAGGAGACTCTGTTTGTGAGGAAAGTAAATGAACCCACCTTTCCTCAGTTATATTTCAGTCCTGTCTAATTTCGTTCTCTTCTGTTGGATTAGCACAAGAACCGCTCTCATTTCAGACCTTTAGCCTTTTATTTTAGACCAAAATGATCCCAAAAAGATGAATTAGTGCCTAATAATCTTCAGTTCCTCTGCTGCCAATAATTTCGACTGCAGTTTTATAATAAGTTTATAAGAAGTTTTATTAAAATAATCTTTTACCTCACCCTGGTATAAAACCTGCTTACTCGATGGACAGAAATCAACCGTCAAAAAAGTTTCACACGTGATCTCGCGAGAATCAGCGATTACACCGGTATTAGAGAGAGAACTTACTATAATACTGAAATAACTAACCTCAGTGGCCTGCTGTCCGCATGCAGCGTGTGATACAAAATACACACAGACAAAAAGACGACCACGTTGTCCAAACTTCTGATGGAAACCATTTTTCTGAAAACAGAAAGGTGAGGTTAGTCTGACACATCACCTCTAGTTTCCACTTTTATCTTAAAACTAGGATTAGTTCCTGGAACACTTTTTGTATGTTGTTAAAAAAGCAGAAAGGTGAGTTTAGTGTGGCTATGAACACTACACTTCCATCAATATTACATATGAAGGCTTGAACGACGTAAGCCTTATGATCCTTAGGATATGATATAAACAAGTAACCTGCATTTAACATTGTTAAATAGTACATAATGAGAAAACTGTCGTGATATTTGTTGAAATTCTACTCACCTCTGCTGGTGGCTTCAGTCCGGCCTTGTAAACCGTGTGTGGCCTCTTGCTGCAGGAGAGTAAAAGCCAGTTTGAGGAGTTCAGATCAGTGTTGGTCTCCGCAGAGCTCCTTTTATAGCCCTCTGCCCATTGATGAGTCTACTTCATTATTGGAGTTCTTTTTTTCTCACCCGTATTCAGACAAGCCCCGCCCCTGCGCTCGGATTGGACGGCTCTTCACATTCACGAGCAGCCCGCCGCTCTAGAACGCTGGCTCTGAGTGAGCGTAAACTACAAGCCAATCGTAGTGCAGGTGGGCGGGGCTTGTCGGAATATGGGTGGGGAGAAATGATCCACAGGAAAACGGCTCATGCAGACTGACTCAACTTTCATCACTTTTTACGTAGGAGCTCGTTAAGTGAAGCTGAACTTGAACTGAGGGGATGCCATAATTTGACAAGGGGTGGGGGGGCGGGTTTAGAGACATGCTGAAAAGTCAAGAAAATGTTACCTACCAATATAAAAATGCAGTGATTGTGAGAGTAGTTTGAACGGACAAAATAGTTGGTTGGTAAGTTAGTTAGTAAACTGATACAGGCAATTTATTTTCTATTAGGCGTGTGTAAAATACTTAGCTTGCATGGTACATATTATTTATGATGATTTAAGTGCTGTTCGTTTTACAAACCCAGTCCGTAAAAGTGTTTCTACAATCTCAATTTAGAAAAATGTAGGTTTTTTTTTTCAGTAAACGAACATGTGCTACTACAAATGTTACAAAATCAAGGGAATCAAATGAATGGGGCAAACCATATGTTAACTCACTCTCATGACAATAGTGGAACCCTTTTTGGTGCTATAAAGAACCATTTTTAAAAGGAGTTCTTTAAAGAACCACATATATCTGGTTTTTCACTTTACACAAAAAACCATGTAAGCATGCAAATGGTTCTTTGAGTGTTCTTGGCTCTATATAGACCCATTGTCTTTACTAAAGAACCCTTTTTTAAGAGTGTGTAACTGTTTTATTTTTTTTTGAAGATTTTTGAAGACAGGGCAGCCACATCATGAAATTCTATGTAAAATGAATTTATTATTTATTACTTATTCAGATAGAAAATGCAATGCGGTCTATAAATATTTATAGCTGAACTATCAAGAAAAATATTATCATAACTATAATAATTATGTATTCTAATATTAATTGCAGACTTTTAGTCTAACTCCACCACAGTTTGCATTGCTTTCTATGTAATTACTGAATAATAAATCAGAGAATGTATTATGGCTGGGAATTTAAGGAGTTAATATAATATTTTCATAATATTTTTAGTTTAACTGATCTGATAATATGAATTATTTGACCACATTAATGAATAGTATGAAGATATGCTCACCCATTCTATTTTCATTCTCATTTTAGGTGGTCATCAGTTTCCAGACAATTTGTAAACTCATCATCAAAATCATTAAGAAACTAAACTAAATTAAACTTTCTATTGTTGCATGTCTTTCTTTATGGCCAAATTCATAGCAAAACTACAGAAGTGTTACATACATATATGGTTTGTGCTCCAGGTGGCAGCTTTAGGCTCTGCTAGAGCCACAGGTGACCATGAGGCACCCCAAGAAAAGTAACACGGCTCTGTCCAACTTTTATGGATGCAAGATGACACATTAGATAACTATGAGCGAAGTTTTCTAAAATTGGCACAGGAATGACCATGTCATGACACAGAGAGTACATCTGCAGGAGCAACCAAACAGGTCCTCCCCATAGATCTTTCCTCACCGCGTGGTTAGGGTTTCTCTCTGAGCCATGCCTGCTGACGGGGAAAAAAGATGACGGCAGAGACCTAGCAGTCCGGTGATGTCATGAGAGGACATCAGCAACTTTTCAATGTGTGAATCCTGTATCTGAGGTTTAATGGTATGTGAGGTTTAGTAGTTTGCAAAAAAGCGAGGTTTGCAAAATTGTATCCAATAGTGCTTAGTGGAGATGTCCAGTGGTGGACACTGATCTGGTGCATTGCACCTGTTGATGCATTTACTCTGTGATTTATGAGCATTCAGTGAAACAAACTTCACAGGTGGTAAGCAATTTAAGTTGTTTACAT